TGTGGTCTCATATGATTTTTTTTTCAGCTATAATCAGCATCAGTGGTATCTGTGAGTTCTTCAGTGGTTTGGACTAAAGTTGTTAATAGAACCTATGGTGAGGCTTTGCTGGGGCAGGAATTTCAGGCTAATCCTCAGGCACCAGTGATGGTGGCAGCAAACAGAGCAGGCCTCTTCTCAGGACCCCAGTATGTATGGGAGCTGGTGGGCACGGTAAGTCAGTCTTCTAAGGTGAAGGAAAATGAGTAAAAAATACATTTTCACAGGAAAGCTGGTTGGTATAAAAGATAATCCAGTTATGAAGATTATTTACATAGTCATGATATTGCTAAAATGACTTAGCGTTTAAAACAGGGAGGATAAATCAAACAAAGCTGGAAAAGCAGGCTGGAATCTCACTGTGTAGAGCCTTTTATGGTATGTTAGATTTTGTCTTTTATCTTTGAACAGTTGAAAAACCACTGAAAGGTTTTTAATGAAGGACATGAGTAGATTTGCATTTTGAACAAAAAAATCTTTCTACCTACAAATGGATGACTAAGTCAGATCTTATTACCATCATTCATGTGAGCAATGAAAGTACAATAAGTTCCCTGGTTATGAATGAGATAGGTTCTGTAGGTTTGTTCTTAAGTTGAATTTGTATGTGAGCTGGAACAGGTACATTTACCTGTAACTATAGTAGCCTCCATTCATAAGTGCAAGTCATACATCAGGCAGATATTTGCAACTCAATGACTTAACTGTAATCACCTCTCCTCAAAAGTGCGAGTTGTACATAAGTCATATGTTTATAACTCAGAGACTGCCTGTATCCTGGTGGTGGTAGTGGAGACAGAGAGAAGTGGTCAGATTTGGGAGTTATTTGTGAGTAAAATCAGCAGGATGAGGTGATAGATTGAAATTGAAAGGTATGGGAGAAGTGAGGTAAAAAAGGATGACTCCTTGATAGGGACAACCCTATTTTGTTTCCATTTTGTACATGTTGAGTTTGATGTGCCTTTTCAACATTCATGAGAAAATGTTAAATAGGTAATTAAATATAGAGGTAAGAATCTCACAGAAGTCGGGGCTGGAGATACATATTTAATTAATCAATAGAGATGGTAGTTGAAGCCACATGTCAAGATCAGCCAGAAAAGGAACACCAAATGAGAAGACAAGGTATCTAAAGTCAAACTTGTCTCTCCCCTCCAGTGTCCCTGTAACCTAGTTCTCCACCAGCATTGCCTTTTCAGTGAAAACCTGAGCACCACCCAAGACTCCTCCCTCTCCCTAATCTGCCAAATCCTACTAAAGCCATCCATACCTCCCAACTGCCACCACGTTAGGTCAAATCCTCATAATTTCTCATCTGGATTACTATGGCAGCCTCCTAAATGGCCTCCTTATGTTCCTTCTCTCCCCATCCACTTGCCACATTGTATTCAAAGGTAATTGTATTAACCTTAAATCTGATTTAGTTGCTCTTTTGCTTAAAATCTTCAAGGGCTTTCAATTGCCCCCTTAGAATATAACATGGTTTGCGAGACCTCTATGATCTATGCCTACTTCGTCAGCTTTATTTCTCACTACTCTTCCACCTCCTAATCATCAAGCACACCAGGCCATCCTTTCTCACTTTGTTATGAATTCACATGTGTAGGACAAGTCTTACTAATTTCTGATCAGTTTGTAAGTCACTTCCTGAAGGGGGTTGGAGTCACCAGAAGAGGGAGTCTTAGCACGAGAAATGAAGAGGCTTGACACAAAGTCTGTGTCAGGGAACTGAGGGGACTGAGGAACTCTAAGAGGAGCCCTTCCATGAAAACCTAGGGTCCATATTGATTATCATAAAACAATAAGTAGACAAAAGCTGCTTGTCTGACATTAGCACTGATAGGGAGGAGATGGAGAAGGTGAGATAGAATGTCTCCACCTTTGTTTTTGTAAAACGACAGACCTAGAGTACAACTCAAACCTCCATCATCAACAGAACTTTGGAAATCTAGAGAATCTTTACTACAATTATTATTGCCACACCTCCACACATACATTTTCTCTGGGAGGCCAATTTTCTGATCTCCTGCATGCACAAAACTCATATGCCATTCTCCTGATTCTCCAGGTCTCTGAAGGAGGAAGTGAGTCTTGTGCTAAAGATCAGGGCTCACTTTCTCCTACAACCTCTTCCAGGAAACCTCATTCCCCAACCTAGGTTAGCTATGTAGAAGTTAGGCTTGCAACACCTCTATTTCCCTAATCAAAACACGTAACACATTTACATTTTATTTCACTTTTAAGTTCAATTAGCTTGTCTTCTTCCACAGATCGTGAGTTCCATGGCAGAATTTATCCGTCCCATTTATGCTGCTATCTAATTTACTTAACACAATGCTTAGTCTATAATAGATGCACATTGTTAGATTATATGTAATGAGCATATTAATTATATTTTATAATGTTTAATACATTATATTAGTTAAATGAAAGAATATATGGAAAAAACACATGCTTCAATTGTCCACTGAGCTAGAAATAGGGTTCATATAATGATGAAAAGCCTAGCCAGGTTATTTTCACTTCCCAAACAACTTTGGGATCTGTGCCACAAGCACCCGAGTACAGGTCTACATTGTCTCTGTGCAATTTCCTCCTACAGGTCCCTCCTGCTTTCTGTCTCATCTCCATCCTTCAGACTGAAGTATCTAAAGTAAAATAATCTGTTTAAAGCTCTTTAATAACCCCTCACTGCTAATAAGGTAAAGCACAAACTCTCATGCAAATTGTATACTATGTGATGGCATCTAGAGGCATCAAGAGGCGAGTAAGTAGCTGAAATTTCCCAGAGAAAGAAGCATCTTCTTCTTGTTCATATAGAGGAACTCTAAGGACTCTAGCGGCAGTTCTGATGAACCCGAACACTCATGAAAATTTCTGTATACTAAATTAGGAAAATTACATTAAAACTAAACCATAATCCAGTCACTTTTGACTAGGTGTTATAAGCCTTTACATTCTACCTTTTGTGATCTGACAAATTCTTACTTATGATTCAACTCAAACGTCATCTCCTTTGTAAAGTCTTCCTAAACACCTACTAACGAAGATTGCCCTCCACTCAGTTCCCAAACACTCTTACTATACCTCAATTATCCTCTGTTTATATGTTTACCTCCTTTACTAGACACTGAGTACCCAGAGATAGGGGATCATATGTTTTTCCTATTAGTTTCTCCAGAATCAAACTTAGCTAGACTTCATAAGAAGTATTTTTAAATTACTGAAAGAATCTCAGTCAAAAGGGAAAAAAATTGAACAACTATCATACATAGTGACAGAGAGCTTAGGGACAAAATACTAAAAGAAGAACGACTATTTCTCCTAATAGAGTGCCAGGAAACTTCGCAGAAAATTGACATTTGCCTGGAAGAGAGAATAGGATTACATCAGGCAGAGAAAAGTTGATTATAAAGGTGAAACAGAATCCAGTCCAAAGAGCAAGGATGACCCAATGACCAGAGGGATTTACATGACATCGTGGAGAATCTATGGAAAGTCAGTAGCTGGGCCTGCTAGACTATAAGTGAAAAGGAATAAGCAGCAATGTGAAATGACATAAGAAAAATAGACTGGGACTCAACTTAAAAACACCTGTGATGCGATAGTAAGATTTGATGCCTTGCCGTCAATACGGACCTAATGGTTGTAAAGGGGAACATCAAAATTAAGTTTGTTCTTCTAAAATTTTATTCTCCCCTGGATTAACAAATATTGTTCCAGTTATAGCTATAGCCTCCTCAAAGGTCATGTCCCTGGCCAGGTGCAGTGGCCCACACCTGTGATCCTAGCATTCCAGGAGGCCAAAGCAAAAGGAGCCCTTGAAGTCAGGAGTTTGAGACCAGTCTGAGCAAGAGCAAGACCCTATCTCTACTAAAAACAGAAAAAGTAGCTGAGCCTGGCGGCACATGCCTATAGTCCCAGCTCAGGAGGCTGAGGCAGGAAGAAAACATGAGCCCAGGAATTTGAAATTGCTGGGAGCTATCATAACACCACTATGCTCTATCTTAAAAAACAAACAACAAAAAAAAAAAAACTTGTAACTTGTGGTAATTTGATCTAATAATCAGGGCAACTTGAATATCTGTAGTCCTCAAATATGAATCAAATAAACTCTCTACTAGTTTGCCTCAGCCTTCCCCCCCCCCCCATAGGTAAACTCTATTAATTCTTACCATCAGATTAGGAAATGCTAACAGGCAATATATTTACTAACTGGAAACATGTTCATGGTCAAAGCTTTCAACACTTCACCCTGTATCTGAAAATTGTCTTCTTCATTCATGTCTTATCCTGGTACTTACTGCCTGCTCTTGTAGTAAGTTTTCTTTCCATACTTGTGGTGTTGACAGAAAAGGTGAACCCACACCCTTATCCTTAACTCTATGAATTACCACAGCACAACTTTTTCACAGGTAACATAAATTTACAGAGGTTTGGGGAAAAAACAGTGTGTGTTATCCATCCCACAATAAGTAGATAATTCTCTCCTCTTACAACTCCATCAGCCATCCTTTTCTCTGGATTTTTTTTTTTAAACAGAGTGTCACTTTGTTGCCCTGGGTAGAGTGCCATGGCGTCACAGCTCACAGCAACGTCAAACTCTTGGGCTTACGTGATTCTCTTGCCTCAGCCTCCCAAGCAGCTGGGACTATAGGCACCCACCACAATGTCAGGCTATTTTCTGTTGCAGTTGTCAGTGTTGTTTAGCTGGCCCGGGTGGGGCTCCAACCCACCAGCCTTAGTGTATGTGGCTGACACAGTAACTACTGTGCTACAGGCACCGAGCCCTGTCTGGATATTTTTACATGGCCAACGTTTCTGGTCAGATACTTCAAACTCCCCAGAATAGAGCTAGGGACCACCCTCAACCTTGGGATCCCTCTGCACAAACTCAAGTTGGATAAAGTAAATTCCCCTTTACTCTGCAGAGTAATTCAGCCTTCAGCCACTTTTATATCCAAATACTATGAAACATTTATTTTAGACACCCCCATGAAATATGTTTTAATACCCAAAATAAGATGACTTCTCCTGGTTAAACTCAGCCTACCTCAGGCAATTCCAACAACAGCCAACTTTTATCTTACGCTAGCTGAACACAAAGCATAAATTAACTATTCTCATAATGACATGCCCCAGGACTCTGCACTCAAAACAAGAGGACAAGGTTCCCAGGGCCATCCAGGACTCAGCTCAGAGGCTTTTGCCACAAGAAGTCTGTAGCTCCTGGAAGAGCCACACTCAGGGGTCAGAGGACAGTAATAAGACCCTATGATGGCACAGCCTCAGGGCTGCAGGGTAGTAATGGGGATTCCACCTCTGCAGGAATACCACCAACACCTGAGCCTGAGCTGAACCCCTCCCCTGGGGAGCTCTTCAGCTCCTCCAAAGAAGAATTGTTATGGGACACAGGGAGCCCCTCAGGCCCACCCACCACAGAGCAGACGGTCATGGACAAATCTCCTGAACGAAACATGAAGTATGGAAACAGAGTCCCTGAGAAGGAAGCCGGAGGGAAGGAGAAAATGTGGGACCCATCATTCATGTTAAAGAAGGAGACATCTCCTTCACCGTAGTCCAGGAAGACACCTACTCTGTGAGGAACCTGCTGAAGGCGTAGCTGAGTATCAGGTTTAGTACAGGCACAATACCCAACTTCAAAGTGCCCCATAACCCAGAACCCCTTATCTGGGGACTCTTTGTACCAGTCTGTCCTTTTCACATCTTCCCTACAGACCCCCAGAGTCCACAGACTGCAGTCTCCATTCTTGACCTCCACTTCCCAGTAAACTCGCCCCGATGTGATGCCCTCAAGGCCCAACACGCTAGAATAGGCATTTGAGTCACTACAGGTGTCCTTCCAGGTCAATGTCCTCTTGTCAGGAGAAATGGCAAGGTTGGAATGGGCAGAGCCTGGATTCAGAATGATAGACCCTGCGGAGAGAGTGACCAGTCACATAGGCCCTACCCTGCCCCATAACAAGAGTGCACACACCCCTCACCCCACCACTTAGCTGCATGGGGGAGGGGTGGGCGCTCTCCAAGCAGAAGAATCCAAGAGACTGATTTGATGGTTACATATGTCACAGGCTCCTTGATGAATAGGGCCAGCTTTGCGACAGTCAACTCCACCACCCACCATCACCAATCATGGTGCCAGCACCTGTATAATCATAGAGAACAAAAGAAGCCAGAAGCCAAGAGAGCAGCAGAAGGAGCACCCAGAAACAACATGAAGTCACTCACAGGCCTGGAACTGTTCCGTCCGCCAATCTACAAGAGAACCACACAGTTCATATCAGGGCTGTGCAGGGATAGTACACATCAAAATAAAAACCTAGTCTTCTGACACATAGTGATACAGGAGTTAGAGGGAAAAGTATGTTTGAAAATATTCAACTGACTTTCATTCACATACCACACACACACTCACACATATCAATCATGCTACAACCTTCATAATGAAAGCTAAGCCATAAAGCTTAACACCCAGGCATTGACAGACTGGACACCGCCCAGATTTCACTATCAAATTACGATTCCTCAAGTCTCTCTAATACAACCTTCCTGAAAGCTAGGGTTTTTTGAGAAAGAATTAAGGGGATTAAAATTTCTAAAACCTCCATTTACTTATAAAAATCTGACTGAGCTGATCTTGTAGGTAATCTCTAAACCATGAGCAGAGAGAGAACTACATCTGGCTGAGTTGAACTTGAAGGATGACTGTAAACCATAAGTGAAAACTCAAGGCACAGAGTAAGGGAAACCTTGCCCAGTTAGGAGGCAACAGGGAAGTTTCTAGGACAAGAGAAAAGAAGTTCAAATCAGGAAGCACATATATCCAATGAGAGGTCAGATGGTAATGACCTCTTTTCCCCTTTTCATGGACTGGTGGGAGCAAAAACATCCCTATAAATAAGGAAGAACCCAGAAATACTGGATCGAGCCATCTGGCTCCCTAAGAATTGCCCAAAGTTTTTCTGCTGGATTGAAAGCCTCTAGCAGAAACTCTACTGTGATGGGCGCCCCAAACATGTCTATGTTCCAAGCCCCAGAATGTGTAAGTACGCTACATACAAGGGGGACTTTACAAATGTGAATAAGATTAAAGATTTTAAGATGAGGAGATTAACATGGATTGTCCAAGTGAGCTCAAACTGATGGCATAAACTCTTGAAAGCAGAGAACTTTCTTGGCTGTAATCAAAGAAATAGATGTAATCACAGGAGCAGTGTACAAGACATACTGGTTTTGAAAAATACAAGAACAGGTTTCCAAAGGAAGGAAAGCAGATGACCTCTAGAAGCTAGAAAAGACAAGACCCTCCAGAAGGGAACACAGTCTTGTCCACACCCTATTGGACTTCTCATCTACAGTGCTGTGAGATAGTAAGTTTGTGTTGGGTTAAGTCACTAAGTTTGCAGAAATTGTTACAGCAGCAAATAGAAAACAAATAAGCCCACATATGATTAGGAATGTAGAACGCATCTTACATGGAATGAGGCGCTGGCAGGGGAAGATGTCAGTAGAGAGGATGAGATTCCCCATCAACCGCCCATGGAAAGCTGAGGACCCAGCTGCCCACTGGAAGGTGGAGAGGCAGAGAGATTCCCAGGGAGCCAGTAGACCAGGCCTAGGGTCAAGAAGAAGCCATAAGCTGTATCAATTTTGCAGCCAGAGACAAGAGACCCAAACTATGAACTTCACCTCAGAGTCACAGGAAGAAAGACCAGCAATGCTCCCTAATAGAAACATGACACTTGCCCCTTCTCAGCAGACACCAGTCCAGAGATCTTAAGGACCAGCTCAAACTAACCTCCCCAGAGTGAGGACCTGACATGACTAAGAGGGAAGCACAGGGTCCCCTCTCCACCAGTCTACTCCACCCTCTAAGCTCCTTTTAGGGAAAAAGAAAGATCACCTGCCAAAGCAAATTATATGTATGTCATAAAACACCAAAATGTCTTCAACTGGAAAGCTTTTGCCTCCAACAGGGTGGAGCCTCAGGAATAAGATTAGAACAATAAGCAACAAGTAAATAACATTTATCTTGCACATGGGTGCAAGATCAGCATTGTCACCTATCCAGGTTCAATAGGAATTTCTATCTTTGCTGATTTGCTTGATGGAAAGAGGATCATATAAAATAGTTGGGTGCCCCAGATGACCCTTTGAGAAAAGTGAACTTTAATTTACTTATTTCTCACCAAGACATAAGTGGATACTTGTTTATAATTTTCTACAGCACTACTGATAGATTACCAAAGAAGAAGAAAGAGAAGGAGAAGGAGACAGGAAAAAGGAAAAAGAAAGAGGAGGAGGAGAAAAGAAAATTGGCATTTAATTTTGAGACAACAGTATCAAGGGCTATGCTGCAGACTTTAATTCATTTTTCACTTAATTTGTGCAGCAAATCCTTAGGTTGCAAATTATTGCTCTCATAAGATGAGGACAGGCATTTGTCCACCTCACTCTGTAAACCTGTCAATATAAAAATATTGATTCTAGTGTAATGTTAACATTTACAAAATAAGAGTGTATGTAAGACATACATTAAAACATGGGCTAATTCAGCAGAGATGGGGGAGATGGCACAAGAAGACTATTTGAACTTCATTTTTTATTAAACAAATCCGAGGGAGAGCCAGTCAACTCTTTGAGTGGGTTCCTCATGCATCTGCTCCACCCCCAACCCTGCTTCATCTCATGGCTCATCCCTCTCTGTCTCTCAGTCTCTGTCCCTGACTACGAGCAGAATCATCTGGAACAAGGGAAGGGCACAGATCTAACCCACCCAGGGTTAAGGGCCCTCGGGATAACCCTCCATCCCACTTGGATTCCCTCACTATACTCCTGTTCCAACTACTGCTGGGAGGCTGAGAGGCCTCATTCCCAGGGGCAAGCTCACATGTTTACTTCAAAATGGCTCAAAAATAAATGGCTTTACTGAAAACTCTTACAGCAGTATTAGGGAGTGGATTACATTTCATGCAGCCAAGTAACCTGCAAACTCTCTTCATACTTCCCTAGTCAGAACCCCCAGCTATGATTTTCAGTCCTTTCCTCCACTCCCTAAAGCCAATCCTGGGCACTCCACCTTCCTTTCTGTCTCCTCTCTCCTCCCCACCTAGTCTTTTCTTCCCCTTTTGCTCCCCAGCTTTTCTCAGGTAAACAATTTTAACCTCTCCAGGTTTCTTCTTTTATGTATAATCTTTGTGGGGTTTTTTGTTTTGCTTTGTTTTGTTTGTTTGAGACACAGTTTCACTTTGTCACCCTGGGTAGAGTGCTATGGCATCATAGCTCGCAGCAACCTGAACTCTTGGGCTCAATTGATCTTCTTGCTTCAGTTTTTCATTTTTAGTAGACATGGGTCTCACTCTTGCTTAGGCTGGTCTCAAATTCATGAGCTTAAACAATCAGCCCACCTCAGCCTCCCAGAGTACTAGGATTACAGGCAGGAGCCACCACACCCAGCCCTTTTATGTATAATCTTCACACATTACCCCTAAAAAAAAAACCTAACCAAGGGCAAGGTTCACCCAGCAAAACAGGATTCTCCTAAACAGAGAGAAATGTGAACAATTATAAGTTGCTTTTTTCTATAACATAAACATATACACAGAATTTTGCATATAATTTCGGGCAGTTCACAGACTCCACCTCAGGACCATAAACACCCTAGAGGCTCTGGACCCCAGATACAGACCATTTGCTCTAAAGCAACTAATTCCTCAGCAACCAACGAGGCTTAGAAAAAGAAACCTAGTTTGTACAGCAAGACAGAGCACAAGGAAGCAGACAGGAGACCAATATCCCAGAAGCTGAGGACCGTGAAGGAACAAGAAAACCAAAACCTGACCAACAAGCAGAGGAACTTTTGGGTAAGAAGAATACAGAGCCAAAGACTCCGCAAGGAAGACCTGACCCCTGAAAACGCAAGAATTGTTTCTTTTATTGTTTGTTTTTTGAGACAGACTCTCACTTTGTCACCCTCAGTAGAGTGCAATGGTGTCACAGCTCACAGCAACCTCAAACTCTTGGGCTCAAGCAATTTTCTCCCCTCAGCCTCACAAGTACCTGGGACTACAGGCACCCGCCAGAACACCCAGCTATTTTTTTTTTTTTTACAGACAAGGTCTCACTCTGGCTCAGGCTGGTCTCAAACTCATGAGCTCAGACAATCCACCCACCTTAGCTCTGTAATCCAAAGTGCTAGGATTACAGGCATGTGCCACCACACCTGGCCAAAAGCGTGATTTCTAAACTCTTCTTCAGACCAACAATTCCTGATGACACAGTCACTACTCTGCTTTCCTCAGAGCTAAACTCTCCACTGTCACTGCACCACGAAGTATCAACTGAACAAGGTGTTGTCCTAGGGTCTTGGCAACCCTGACAGTGACCTGCAATAGAGGAAGGGCCAGAACGGTAACAGATCAGTATTCCCAAGGAGGAGTCCCCACAGTCTTCTGATGGAGACAACAAGAATGACAAAGAGGGCCGGGCACGGTGGCTCATTACTGCAATCCTAGCCCTTTGGGAGATCGAGGCAGGTGGATTGCTTGAACTCAGGAGTTTGAGACCAGCCTGAGCAAGAGTGAAACTCTGTCTCTAAAAATAGCCAAGCAATGTGGTGGGCATCTATAGTCCCAGCTACTTGGGAGGCTGAGGCAAAAGAATCACTTGAGCCCAAGAGTTTGAGATAACTGTGAGCTATGATGCCATAGCACTCTACTAGGGACAAGAAAGTGAGGCTCTGTCTCAAAAAAAAAAAAAAATTGGCAAAAAGAGAAGAGCCACTTATCTTTTTTTTTTTTTTGAGACAGAGCCTCAAGCTGTCCCTCTGGGTAGAGTGCCATGGCATCACGCTCACAGCAACCTCCAGCTCCTGGGCTCAAGTGAGGCTCCTGCCTCCGCCTCCCAAGTAGCTGGGACTACAGGCGCCCACCACAACGCCTGGCCATTTTTTGGTTGCAGCCATCATTGTTGTTTGGCGGGCCCGGAGTGGGGATTCGAACCCGCCACCTTAGGTGTATGTGGCTGGCGCCTTAGCCGCTTGAGCCACAGGCGCCAAGCCAAGAGAAGAGCCACTGACAGGGAAGAAGACAGGACAGAGGCTAGGGAAGGTAAAGCCAGAGGAAACAGCAGAGTTACTCACCTGCATACAGCTGGGCCTTCCTCCAGGCTGAAAGAAAACACACGCTGGTCAGACCCCAGCCAGAAAAAACCTACTCAGGAGGATCCTACTGACCCTTGCCTCGCCTGTGCTGGAAACTAGGTGACTATCCATAGGAGGAGAGAGGCTGGAAGCAGGGTGCTGAGGCTGGGAAGCCTGAATTTTGGCTTTCAGATAGCTGCCTCTGCCTCAAAACCTCAAAAATTGATATTCTATCTTCAGTTGTGCTGCTAAGAATAAAAAATTATGATGCCATCTGAAAATATTTAGGGAATAAAAGTTTAATTGTTCCATAATCATAAAAAAGCATTATTATACCCAGTCTTTTTCTGGCAAAGATTTGGGAAATTACCAAAAAAGAGGAGTGATTTAAGGACAGGGATGTGAGGTGAGTTCTGGGATAAAGGTAACCAATTTTTCAGAGACAAATTATTTCTAAAGATAAACATCACTATTCTGGGGAGCATTCAGTTCGCCCCATCCCACTCCCTATGTGGTCAGCAGCCCAGTCCTCTCATCATCACTTTTTGTTCAGCACCTTCAGGAGGTGAAGAGAACAGACTCCCCAGAAGCTTTTATAGAGATGGGGTCTTGCTATGTTGCTCAGGCTGGTCTTCAACTTGTGGCCTCAAACAATCCTCCCACAGGCATGAGCCACCAGGCCCACTGGCTGGGAGTTTGGGCTGGGGAAATGGGGAGGCAGGACCCAAATGATTTACATAGCTTATTTAGTGAAACATCAGAGCATCTGGCTTTTGGCTTTCAGGTGCAGACCGCAAGTTAGATGCATTGAAGGATAAAAAACTAGTAATATGGTGGACAGGCCAGGATTGCAATAAGACCCAGGATGCATAAGAGACTCCAGGAGTCATCACCACACTCTTCCCAAGCACACCCAAGAACAGCTGCCCAGATATAGAAGAGCCCAAGGAGCAGGGCTCCACCTCCCACCAGCTTCTGCTTTTGTCACCAGGGAGCCAGGATCCACAAGTCTGTGCCTAAATATAAACTAAGACAAGGGACACGTGGGCATAGGTAGAACAAGAGACTAAGGGACATGCGCAGAGTCACTCACCAACCCCGTATGCTTTCTTCCTCTTGTCTGAAAGGCAACAAGGAAAGAGGAAAGCTGAAAGCCAGAATGTCTCCTCAAAAGGATACAGAGTTCAAGAGAGAAAGTAGAACTTACTAAGCTCTTCCTGGAGTGCACCTGAAAGAAAGTTAAAAAAAAGCATGAACTCCCACCCCTAAGAAAAGGAAAGACCAGAGAACGCATCAAAAAATATGTTTTCGAGCTTGATCTTATCCACACAGCTGAGAAGTGATAAGCATTTTTCTGTACCCTAGAAAAACTAACCCCAGTCCCACCCGAGCCTCCACGGCTCCAGCTGTCCTCTCTGGATCTCCTCAGACACCCGCTCTGGGGCCAGAGCCCTGGGTCTCCCCTGGAGAGCTGGCCCCGCGGACTCTCAGCACCGCCAGCCCTGGCCCGTGTCCTGCCTTACCGACGGTCTGCAGCGCCTCCTCCTTTGCCTTCTGGTCCTTCTCCTTAGCCTGGCGCAGACGCTGCCTTTCCTGCTGCACCTGCAGCTTTGTGGAACGTTCTCTCTGGATAAAATATCCGGCCCCAAAGAGTAGGAGACCCAGCATGACCATGCTCACAACAAACACTGACTTCCAGGGAGAGGCCTGAGGGAAGAAGGGCTCTGTGGCCCGGCTGAGACACAGTCAGGAGCACAGCCCAGGAGGACCAGCCCAACACACTCAGGGACGCCCGCTGCCTCCCTCCAGCCCTGCCGGGACCAAGGAGCAGCACTGACCTGGGAGGAAAATGGCCGCCACCTTCTCTTGGCCCAGGATGGGGTTGAAGATGGAGCAGGTCACATTCCCCGCAGAGCTGTCTCTCACCACCAGAGTGGCCTCCACACTGAATAGCTCCTCAGCATCTTGGGCATGGGCCTCAGAGAACGCCAAGAAGTTCTCTCCGCTAAGGTGTCTCCACCGGACCCGGGGCTTTGGGAACCACCCCGAGGCCGTGCACACCACGCGGATCCCGTCGTCCTCTGGCCCGTCAATGCGAACTTCAGGAGCAGAGCCCACCCCTGCGAGAGGGAAGCTATGGAGCCCGGGACGCGTCCTCGAAACCCCGGAGCCCAGCAGCGCCTACGCCGTGCCCGACACCAGGGGGCGCCAGTCGTGTTGCATTCTGAGGGTTCTGGCGGGGGTGGGGGGGATGCCCCCTGGAGGAGCAAGGTACTGGCCCTGCCACACGAAACAGAAGGAAGCGGCACAGGGACAGCTGCCTGTGCTCTGCAGCCACCAGGTGCAAAGTATGACGCTCAGAGGACGAGGAAGAATGGGTCCCAGGTCCCATCTTGCCCCTCCACGCTTCCCACCTCACACATTCTCCCGGGGCATCTTGTTTCATGCCCTCTGCCTCTTTCTGTAAATCATGTCGAAAATTTGACAACCCTGTCTCCCAAACTTCCTTCCCTTATAACTGCATTTCTATGGGTTATCTCTACCACAATTCTTCCCATACACTTCAAATTCAAAATTCCAGACCCGAATTTATAATTTTGCCCTATCTGCGGTACGTCCATTATAAAACAAAATATCCTCGGTTTCTCGCCATTCATTTTATCCAGCTCACCCTCTGACATCTACTTTTTAGGAACTTCACACTCTGGCGCTGGGCTCCATCGTGTGACTTGATTTGGCCAGTGAGGGCTTAGCAAAGGTAACTCAAGCAGAGGTTTGATAGGCACTTGCACCACTGGTTTTGCCCTCTGATAATTCCACAAAGGACAAGCTTGGGCTATTCACGGGAGGGTGACACTCATGGAACATGCCCTGGCCACCCCAGCCTTTCCAGCTGAAGCCGTCAGAGATAAGCCAACATCCAACTGACCACCACAAATGTGAACAAACCCAGCCAAGTCCACATGGTGACCTCTTCAGCTGACCAAAGATGTGTGAGTAGGCCCAGCTGAGAATGACCAAGACCAGTCCGGACTTGTTTAACTCCCTTAATGCCCAAGTTAAACATTTCTTCCTATATGCCACTGAGACTTTGTGACTCTTCACTTCACAGCATGTCACAGCCAACAGGTAACTGATGCATAGTTAGCCAGCCATCTTTCTACCACTAAACACAGATAGCCAAAGCAAAGCACTGGGGGTCTCTGAAATCCCCTCTTGCCCCTCCAAACTCTGTCTCCCCAAACTTCCTTCCCTTTTAACTGCATTTCTATGGGTTATCTCTACCACAATTCCTCCCATACACTTCAAACTCAAAACTCTGAGGGAAGAAGGGCTCTGTGGCCCAGGCACAGACACAGTTAAGGGCACATCTACTTTCAAGGGCACATTTTTTAAGGGCTCTATATGTTTGCACTGAATAAATAAATGTATGAGTGAGTGTCCTTGTACTTACCTATAACATGAGAGCTAAGTGTAGAATATAAATATCTTAACACAATAACTAAGAAAATGCCATGAAGGTTATGTTAACCAGTTTGATGAAAATATGTCAAATTGTATATAAAATCAGCACATTATGCTCCATGATGGCATTAATGTACACAGCTATGATTTGATAAAAATAAATAAATAAATAAAAATAAACTGATATTCCTCCCAACTCCAATACTCCAGAACTCTAGAATACAGAACAAGTCACCAACCTGCCACCTTCAATTCCAAAGTGGCCTCTTCATAGAAGGCTCCTTTTTTGAAGAAGCAGGTGTACAGCCCACGATCAGAAGCCTGGACCTTGTATATCTGCACAGCAGCCTTCCCCTGGGTGAGGAAGTCGCTCACAAGTGAGGTCCGCCCTGCATACTGGGCCATTTGCTCCTCGTTCTGCTCCTGTTGGTTCTGATAGGCGAACACCACATCTGAGAACTTGCTGCGGAACCACCTCAGCTCCATGCTCTCCGCATTCATGGCTGGGGACAGGAAGCAGGGTAGCACGGCATCCCCGCCCAGCACCGCCACAATAGGGTCCAAGGGTCCCATCACAAGGAAGTTGTCTGTGGACACAGACACAGGAGTGAGAAAGCTGGATAGACACAGGCTCGGTGGCAGAGAACACACACAAGTAGGTGCTCGAAGCAGGTGCTGGATGAGCTGCCCCTGGAGGCCTGATGGATTATACAATAGTGACTAAGCTAGCTAAGACCTCTGAGCACATGATGTGGCCCAGAGATGATGTCAAAGAAATTCCCTCACTGGCCTGTGTTCCTGACCTTATCCCCAACACCAGGGGGAGCCAGTTGTGTTGCATTCTGAGGGTTCTGTGGGGAGTAAGCCCCCTGGAGGAGCAAGGTACTGGCCCTGCCACAGGAAACAGAAAGAAGAGGCACAGGGACAGCTGGCTGTGCTCTGCAGCCACCAGGTGCAAACTCTCTGTGAACTCTCTACCTCAGTGATTCTCAGTCTTGAGTGTGCATCTGAATTTCCAGCAAGGCCTGTAAAATCTAAATTGCTGTGCCCCATTCCCAGAGCTTCTAACTCACTGACTTCTAAAGGGCTCCCAGGGATATGGATGCTGTTGGTCCAGGGACCAACACACTGAGAAGCACAACTTTAACCTGTCAACTGAAGACAAACCTGAAAACTGACCAAGGTGAATCACACATGTGGCCTGGGTCAGAGCAGACCATTCAGCCACACCAGGAAACTCCCCACTCTCACTCTTTAGTAATTATTTCTCTCTATATTTCTCCCCGTCCCACTGAATTATATGTGTACCTAAAACCTAGACTCAAATGCTGCTTCCATTGAAAACCTGCCCTATCTCTCCCAGGAGCCTGGGTGTTAAGGTAATTGCTGCGTGATAAAAAAAAAACATTCACCACACCCTCCGCCCCCTCAGCGCCCCGGCCCTCTGAGGCCTGATGGATGGGCCACAACATGACTGTTCTGCAGGACAAGTCACAACGGGCCTCCAAAGAGCAACTTCTCACCCTAACGCACCCAGGGTGCTACTCAACCCTGGCCAGGGTCACAATCATATCTCCCCAGTGTACTAGTCTCCCACGTCCCTGTCTGTGATCCTCTTAACCCACATCCTTACTCTGCCCAAAGCCATTCTATGGCTCCTCAGTTTCCCCCAGTGACCCACAGGCCTGACAGCTTGACGACCCCAGTACTTCTCTGACACCAACACCTGAAGAGCAGGACCCTCCAGTATTTCTGTCCCCTGCACACTTGGCCCCACCCAGCAATTGTCTCTGCTGTTTCCCAATACACTGGGCCACTGTGGGCTTTGCACTGGCTGCTGCCCTTAAGGGAACTATCTTTCGCAGAGAGCCTCATGGCTCTCTCCCCCTCATGTGTCCCCTTCTCACCGTCCACAGGGACCACCTTGTTGAGCACCGCAGCCCACCCACACCCCACCCTCCTTCATGCTCTCATCACACTCGTCTCCTGCCTGGTTGGGCACAGGCCTGCCTGGTTTGTCCCATTTGCTATTCAAAGTCTTCTGCTAGAATGTCAGCTCTGTGAAGACAGAGAATCTCCATTTTGTTATTAGAATAGCACCTAACACAGAGTGGACACCCCATTTATTAGGGGAATAAAATTAATTAATTAAAGCAGGTAACCAAAACTGATGGGGAAAGTATTTTAAATTTTTAATATTTGCCTTTTTTCCCATTTTTAATGATATCCTTTTATTTTGTATTTCAAAATATTAAGGAATACATGTTTTATTTATATACTTTGTTTTTTGTACAGACTGAGTCAAAGTTATAAGTTGCCCTTCACCTAGACAATGTGCCAGGTACCCAATACATGTGAATTTACCCATCCCATCTTCTCTCCCTAATATTTGACATTATTGGACAATTTTCAGGATCCCTTGTGATTATTTTATGGTTTAGTTACTCTTCTTAAATTTCAAACTGCAATCAGTGGTTGGGGAGCACTTCCTGGAGCCAGGGCCTCCACAAATCCCCTTCCAGTCCAGATGGAAGGAACCAGCAGAGCACCTAGAGGGTCCCAGACACCTGAGAGAGACACAGGAAGAGGGGTAGGGCACACTTACCTGCGGACACACAGGTGGGCAGCTGGATGAGGAGAAGTAGGGAGGTGAGACAGCAGAACAAAGAGCTGCTGAAGCAATTCTCCATTTCTTCAGAGCTGGAGAGAAAGACAGGGTAGGACATAGATCCAGCCCCAGGCCCTGGAGCCTCAGAGGGAAGAGAATGCGAAAGGCTGTTGTCAGCACTCCACAGAAGCAAAGCATGGGCTAGTAGGAAATCGCTAGGGTGATACCAACAAGGAGCTGAGCTGGCCTCCTCCCAGCCCTTCTGGGAATTCTCTGTGGGGTTAGGGAACTCATAGGGTTGCCTGGGAAGAAACTTCCTCTTCCCTTCCTGCCCTAATCACAACCACAGCCACGCTTCTTTCTTAGCACCTAGGGCCTATGATGGAAACTGGCCCTTATCTCTTCATGAGTCACCCAACACTGGTGATCTTCCCGCTCTCCTAGTACACAGGACCCAGACTTGGGCACCAAGCCATGAAGGACATGCCAGCTCCTGCTTGCTTGTTCTGTCGCCCCCTACTTGTGACCAGGGTATAACATGAGAAGAATCACATATGACATCCTCAAGGGGCATGCCTGTCACAGCTGCCAAGCACCCGGTCCTGCTTTTCTTTTGTTTTTTTGTTTGTTTGTTTGTTTGTTTGGGTTTTTTGCTTGTTTACTTCACCTAAGTTTGAATCCCACCCCAGGCTCTGCCTGTCATGGGCCAGAACATGGATCTGCATCCAGCAATTCCCCACTGACAATTTAATCCTCAACCTCTCTCTCTTTGAGGAAGATTTCTGCCTGAGAGGTGAAGGACTCTGGTGGGAGACAGAACAGCAGAGAAGACAAAATGAGCCCTGGTTAGAGTCCTGTTTGGAATCAGGGAGAAGAGGGAGTCGGTGGTCCTAGGAAGGACAGGCTCGGGTGGCACCTATGGCTCAAAGGAGTAGGGCGCCAGCCCCATATGCCGGAGGTGGCAGGGTCAAAACCAGCCCTGGCCAAAAACTGCAAAAAAAAAAAAAAAAAAAAAGGAAGGACCGGCTCCAGGGGCTGACTGCCAGCCTGCCCCCAGGGCTTGGCCCTATGTGAACACCTTAAGGGAATGTGTTCACTTTCTCTGCCTCTGTTTCCTCACCCATGCAAAATGGGGATAGCAGCCATACCTCCCCCCAAAGTTGTAATGATAGAATTAGAGTAGGGCCTATCCTAGGGACATCACTACCTAGTCCTGCAGAAATATCATTAAGGTAAATGAATAATGGTGCAGCCCTCACTAAGGCTGTCTGGGTACTCTTCAAACAAGAATATTATCCAGCCACCCACTTTCCCTTACTCCTCAGGCTCATCACATTCTCAGCCTCCTCCTCCTTTAGCCCGCTGCTCTCTGGCGTTCTCTTCTTGGCCCACAGGTGTCTTTGAAGCAAACTTACCTGCTTCTCTTCCTTCCCACTTTGAAAGGTTGTGACTTCCTAAAGCGTCTGCAAAATCAGCACTTGAGAAAGTTCAAAGCAGGAGTGCTGGGGGCCCAGGACTCCTCATCTCTGAGTGGGAGGGGTGTTCATAGAAGAGCAGAAAAGAAGCAGAGCCTGGCAGAGGTCACAACAGCATCTGCAGAGACCCCAGCCCCAGGGACCCCATAAGTGCTACCAGCCAGAAGAGTCAACCCCTCTCTGGTTCCTGCCATCTGAAAGTGAAAGCTTGCAAAAAGCAGCCTGAGCAGAGTCTGCCTCACCCTTTGGACATCGCACCCCTGTTGTCAGAAAGGAAGCAGCATAAGCCAGGCAGCAAAGAGAGGGCATCCAGTTACCCTGATGCTCCCTGCAGAATACTCCACTTATAGTAGGAATGTCGTCCTCTGCCACCCCCCTGCCACCACCAGGCCTGCCCCACGAGAGCCTTCCCAAAGCCTAGAGACAGCAGGAAAACTTTATGAAAACACAGGAAGAGGAAAACAAAATTACACTGGATATCTATTATCAGGAACTGGGCTACATGTATACTTAGGCCACTCCATTCACACAACTACCAACAGAAATGAAACAAGACGTGAGCCCTGCTAACTATTCACTCTAACCCAGTAGCTGCCTGGGTGAGGAAGGGGCTAGAGCTGCCAGGAGATGGCCCCTCACACACCCAGCCCAGCCCCCAGCTGTAGATACCTCAAAGTGAGAAAGGAGCAGGAAGGAACCCTGGACTCTGAGAAGCTGATCACACAGTCCAGAAAGCTTATCTCACCCGAATCCCAGCCCTTAGAGCTCCCTAACACCGGTGGGGAAGGGAGTGTCAGAGCACAGGTCAGATTTCCTGTAAGAATAGCTGGGAATAGCACCGGAAGAAGGACGTGGAACAGCAAACTTCACTGCCTCCCGGCTCCTTAGGATCGTGTTCCAGCTGCTTTAGCAACAAACATTGTTCGCTAAGCCAGGAATGACTTTTCTTGCTCATAATATTAATTACCCTATGCTAATGGGGTTAATATTTTACATTCCTTTTTAACAAACTCATAATAGCTCTTATCTTTAGTGGTTCCAGTTGCTTTTGAAAGAGTTTCAGATAAATGCCTAGACCATAAAACAATGGTTAATATAAAATTTATTAAATACATGTGTATGGTGATTTTTAAATATGACTGTTAATAAAATTCAACTACTTTTACTACTTTTCTTAAGGGTGCAATCAAGTGAACTTAATTGATCTCGACACTTTTAAGATGAAGTATTCACTGGGTTGTTGTCTACCGCAAGAAAAATTTTAAAGAACTATTTTCTGACTGCTTATTTTCTAGCAAAAAAAAAGAAAAAGAAACAAAGTAGTGTGTTTTTTTCTTTAAACTTTAATATTTTTCCCTTCAATTTCTAACCACCATGACCTGCTGATGGACTGTGCTCCAAGTTGGCAGCCTGCTGAGAAGTCCCAGAGGTGTGGCAGCACTGTCCTCTTTCTCTGGGCCCTTCTGCCCCTCTGGTAGGGAGATCCCCTCCCAAGGAACATTCTCACCTCTATAACTGAAATGTCCAACCCAAGGTGGCTCAGGGACTTATCCCCCTCACTCTCCCTGAGGACTCAGGGCCTTCCCCAGCCCCCCCCAAAGGTGGACAGCAAAAACATTCGGGCCCAGGACACCTGTCGCACTACCCTCTGAATGGGCAATCCACCCTGATTCCAAATCTGAGACTCCAGAGGAGGTGAGGAAACATCACCCCAACCCAACCCCAGAGAGATGTAAAGATAAAGGATTGAGGCCAGAGGGAAAAAGTCTTTTTTGTTTTGTAGGTAGAGACAGTGTCTCACGCTGCTGCCCAGGCTGCTGTGCAGTGGTGCAGCCATGGCTCACTACAACCTTGAACCCCTGAACTCAAGCAATCCTCCCACCTTGGCATCCTGAAGTGTTGAGATTACAGGCATGACCCATCACCCCCAGCCAAACAGACATTCTTCTAGAAAATGTAATCAATTTTATTAGACTCATAAAAAAGCAAAAATAAAAAGCAGCAGAAAAAGAAACATGTCAAAAGAAAAGAGCAAAAAGGAAGGAAGGGAAGGAGAGTGAGGAAGAGCGAGGGAGAGGTGAGAGAGAGGATGAAGAAAAGGAAGAAGGAAGGGTAGGGTCATCCTGGCCTTTAGCCCTGACATCTGTCAATGGGACGCCAGAGCCCGGGCACCGGATGACAGTGGAGGAGTTGCAGAGAGCAGCATAGGCTGCTCAGCAGGTGACCCGCTCAGGGACCTAAGAAGAACTTCCTGATCCTCCTAATCCCATGTAGGTCAGACACTTCCATTGTCAAGGGTGACAGAGGCAAGTCCTGGTGCGAGGAATTTGAGAACCAAGTTATAGGGAAAGGCTTAGAGGTCTCTAACCTTGATCTCTGCTCCTAAGAGAGGATCAAAGAGGAGAGGCCTGAGGCAGTGGGGGCTGGAGAAGCTGATTCTCACACTCCCCAGGATGCCAGACACCCTTTTCATCTCCTGCTACAGTGTCTTCTCCACAGGAAAAGCTGGGTCTTAAGCCCCAAGGCCAGCCCCCCTGCACTCTAATGACCACCTTCAAATGATCAGGCTCACCTCACACTGGGAATCAGCTTACTCTGAACTTAATATATTTTATTGCCATGAGCATTTTGGTGTAATACTGTGAGAAACTTCTTACTGTCCTCATTTAACAGCCAGAGAGACAGAGGCTCAGCAATATGAGGAAACCTGCACACTGTTACACAGTCCTGTGGCCAAAATGACACAACCAGGGCTACGCCAGAGCTCAGTGGAGCTCTAAAAGGGGGACCACTAGATTCGGGGCACCAGACAGACCCAGGAGTGCTCCAGAGATTGGGGAGGGGTTGGAGAGGAGGCATAAACATGTAAAAACTTATAAAAGCTTTAATTTGCCTCCTTTAATATGCTATTTGCATTTCTTCTTCTAACCTGTATTATGTTTGTACATACTGTTTGTTAGTAGCATGTTTGACATATATCGCTGAGTGTATAAGAAGCGTTTGGAGATCCTTGCTCCAAACCCCTGCTCTGGAAATCTTGTCTAAAGCAGCAAGTCTCAGAGAACAAAATAGGACCAAGACGCAGCAGCTGCTGCCGGGAAAGCGCCCACGTGCGTGAGGGGAGTAACTTACCTGCCCCTGGAAAGACCACCCACGTGGTCAGGCCAGGTTTTACTTGTCCTCTGCTGCCCCCGTGTGGCCAGAACATAGAAGACAGAAAGAGCATTTCCAAGCTGGAAGATTTGCAGGAGGGGTATGGAGAAGGACCCAGAAAATAAATCCTAAAATTGTGGCAGGACACGGTGGCTCACGCCTGTAATCCTAGAACATGGGGAGACTGAGGCAAGAGGACCCTTTCACCTCAGAAGTTTGAGACCAGCCTGAACAAGAGACCCTGTTTCTACTAAAAATAGAAAAATAAGCTGAGTGTTGTGGCAGGCACCTGTAGTCTCAACTACTTGGGAGGCTGAGGCAGGAGCATCGCGTGAGCCTGGGAATTTGAGGTTGCTGTGAGCTAGGCTGACGCCTGGCACTCCAGCCTGAGCAGCAGCGTGAGACTTTGTCTCAAAAAGAGAGAGAGAGACTTAAGACATAAATCCAATACCTGAATCTTGTTCTGATACTGATTTAAACAAACCTTGTATATACACACACACACAATATGGATGTCGATATATATATATTAGATAACTTGGGAAATTGGAACACTGATTGCACACTGCATATTTGAGAATATTATGGAATTATTGCAGAGGTGCAGGGAGAGGGGATGAGCAAAAACCTACCTAACAGGTTCAGTGAACACTATCTGGGTGCACTCATAGCCCTGACTTATGCACTACAAAGGTGATCCAAAACATTTGTACACCTATAATATTTTGAAATTTAAAAAAATTATTGCAAAAACAATAATGATACTGTGCTCATGCTTTTTAAAAATCTTTATCTTTTAGAGATACTGAAATATTTGTGGTAAAAGTGATACAATATCTAGGATGTGTTCTAAAATAATCTGGGGTTGACAGTGGAAGTAGAGATGGGATCGGAGTGGTCCTGAATTAGTAATTATTGTATTGGGGTCACGGGTACATGGAAGTTCTTTGTTTCATTATCTCTGCTTAACTGTATGTTTGAATTTTCCAGAATCATAAGTTTAAAAAAAAAATCATATGCCCTCTTTCTATACATCTTTTCTCTGCAAGTCTAAATAGCAAAATTCTTTAAGGAATTTTATGACACAAAATATCTCCACTTCTATATGTATACCATGAAATACTATTCAGCCATTAAAAAGATGGAGACTTTACATCTTTTGTATTTAACTGGATAGAAGTGGAACACATTATTCTTAATAAAGCCTCACAAGAATGGAGAAGCAAGAATCCTATGTATTCAATTCTGATATGAGGATAATTGATGACCTAGTACACTGTGGGGTGTGAGGGAAGGGGTGCAGAGGGAAGGAGAGAGGGAGTGGGGGGGCCTCGGGGTGTGATGCACCTCTTGGGGATGGGTCACAATTGTAAAAGGCACTTTTACACAAATGCAATTGTTGTAACCTGGTTCTTTGTACCCTCAATGAATCCCCAACAATAAAAAGAAATTTTTAAAAATTTAAAAGAAAATCTCCACTTCTTCCTCTTTTGCAGATTTAAGGCAGAATTCACATACTATAAAATTCATCATTTTAACTGTACAAGTCAATGATTTAATGTATAGGGTTATAGAACTATCACCACTATCTAATTTTAGAACATTTTCATTACTCCAAAAAGCAAACTTATGCTCATTTCTACTTATTCTCCACTCCAACACCCAGCCCTACACAAATACTCATCTTTCTGTCTCCATAGATGTAGCCATTGTGCACATTTCATGCAAGTGTATTCACACCATATATGGCCTTTTTCAGTCTGACTGCTTTCTTTCACTTAGCAAAATGTTTTGGCTTGGCGCCTGTGGCTCAAGCGGCTAAGGCGCCAGCCACATA